CTGGTTTTGGCCATTTTGAATCAGACAACCGTATGATCTACTATAACAGGAATGACAAACTAAATAGGAATGGAGTGGCATTCACCATGACAAGGAATGTTTAAGATCTATCCTGAAGTACAATGGTGTCAGTGACAGGATAATATCCACATGCCTACTAAGAAGACCAGTAAATATAACTATTATTCAAATTTACACACCAACCACTAAAGCCAAAGATGAGGAAATTGAAGATTTTTACTAACTTCTGCAGTCTAAAATCGACCGAACATGCAATAAAGATGTGTTAATTATCACTTGTGATTTGAATGCAAAAGTTGGTAACAAAGAAGAATCACCAATAGTTTGAAAACTTGGTCTTGGCGATAGAAATGATGCTGGAGATCGCATGACAGAGTTTACCAAGACCAGTGACTTATCCATGGTAAATACCTTTTTTTCAACAATGCAAACAATGGCTATACACGTGGACTTTGGCCAGATGGAGTAAACAGCAATCAGATTGACTACATCTGTGGCAAGAGGCGATGGAAAAGCTCAGTATCTTCAGCCAAAACAAGGCCAAGGGCTGATTGTGGAAGACCATCAACTGTTCATATGCAAGTTCAAGCTGAAGCTGAAGACAGTTAAAAGAAGTCACGAGAGCCAAAATATGACCTTCATTATATCCTTCCTGAATTCAGAGACCATCGAAAGAATAGATTTGATGCACTGAACACCAATGACCAAAAACCAGAATTGTGTTATGACATCAAGAACATCATCCATGAAGAAAACAAAAGGTCATTAAAAAGACAGGAAAAGAAGAAAACACCAAAGTGGGTGTCAGAGGAGACTCTGAAACTAGCCCTTGAACAGAGAGTAGCTAAAGCGGATGGAAGAATTGATAGGATAAAAGAGTTGAACAGAAGATTTCAAAGAGCAGCTCGAAAAGACAAACTCAATTATTGCAATGAAATGTGCCAAGACAAGAGTTGGAGTTACAACCAAAAGCGATGAACATGTTCGGCATTTCTCAAGTAGAAAGAACTGAGAAAAAAGTTTAAACCTTGAATTGCCATACTAAAAGATTCCCAAGGGCAATATGTCGAATACTGCAAGAAACAGTAAAAGAAGATGGATGGGATACACAGAATCATACCACAAAGAACTGGTAGATGATCATCTGTTTCAGGAGGTGGCATATGATCAAGAACCAATGGCACTGAAGGAAGATGTCAAAGATGCACTAAAGGAATTGGCGAAAAATAAGGCTCCAGGAAATGACAGACTATCCACTGAGATATTGTTTCAACAAATGGATGGAGGCAACCACTTGGCTATGCCAAGAGATTCAGAAGACAGCTAGCTACCTGGCCAACTGAATGGACGAGACCCATATTTGTACCCATTCCAAAGAAAGGTGATCTCACAGAATGTGGAAATTATCAAACAATATCATTGATATCACACTCAAGTAAAATCTTACTGAAGATAATTCAAAATGGTTGCAGCAGTATATTGACAGAGAACTTCCAGAAATTGGATTCAGAAGGGGACATAGAGCCAACATGGATCCATCTGCTGATGTCAGATGGATCTTGGCTGGAAGCAAAGAACACCAGAAAAATGTTTACTAGTGTTTACTGACTATGCAAAGGCATTTGATTGTGTGGATCATAACAAACTGTTGATAACATTGAGAAGAGTGGGAATTCCAGAACACTTAAATTGTACTCATGAGGAATCTATACAGAGAGCAGGAGGCTGTCATTCAACAGAACAAGATGACACTGCATGGAAGGGAGTGCATCAGGGTTGTATGCTTTCACCATACTTGTTCAATCTGTATGCTGAGCAAATAAGCCAAGAAGCTGGACTATATGAAGAAGAACATAGTATCAGGATTGGAAGAAGGCTTATTAAGAACCTGTGATATGCAGATGCCACAACTTTGCTTGCTGAAAGTGAGGATGACCTAGAGCACTTACTGAGGAAGATTAAAGACTACAGTCTACAGTGGATTACACCTCAATATAAAGAAAATTAAAATCTTGACAAATGGACAAATAAGCAGCATCATGATAGATGGACAAAAGACTAAAGTTGACAAAGACTTCATATTATTTGGTTCTACAATCAACGCCAATGGAAACAACAGTCAAAACATCAGAAGATGTATTGCATTGGGCAAATCTGTTGCAAAAGACCTCTTTCAAGTGCTGAAGAGCAACGATATCTCCCGAAAGACTAAGATGTGCCTAACCAAAGCCATGGTATTTTCAATCACCTCATATGCATGTGAGAGCGGGACAATGAATAAGAAAGATCAAAGAGTTGATGCTTTTGAGTTTTAGTGTTAGGAAAGAATGCTGGAAGTACCATGGAGTACTAAAAGAACTAACAAATCTGTCCTGGAAAGAAGTGCAGCTGGAATGTTCCTTGGAAGCGAGGGTAGCCAGACTTCATCTCATCTACCTTGGTCATGTTGTTAGAAGGGACCATTCTCTGGAGAAGGGTATCATGCTTGGTAAAGTGAAGGGTCAATGAAAGAGGGGAAGGCCCTCAACAAGATGGACTGACATGGTGGCTACAACAATGGGCTCAGGAATAGTAGGGATTGTGAGGCTGGCACAGGACTTGACAGTGTTGCATTCCATTGTACATAAGGTCACTTTGAGCTGGAGAAAACTCGACAACACATAACAACAACAACATCCCACGCTGGTGAGTAGCAACTGGGGTCATAAAAACTTGCAAATGGCCTTCTAAGATGCAATGATTTGTCTCTCCTTATCTGGAACAAAGAAAAATGAAGAAAACCAGAGAAACATGGAAATAATTACTCCACGGGACTAGGGGACAATGCAAACCTCAGCCTATATTACTTTGGAACCAGAAGAACTAGATGATGCCTGGCTGCCACTGCCAACCACTTGGAATGGGATCAAAATAGGAGATTCTGGATAAAGTGGGAGAAAAATGTACAACAAAACTTAAAATTATAAAAAAAAAAGATCAGACTTACTTCTGTGACAGATATAAGTGAAACCCCCAAGACTATGGTCCCTAGTGACCTTTGGGTCCCAAATTGAATTCACTCCTGTTGCTTCCAGTCAAATAACAGACATGCATACAGGATGAACATTTACACCAGGTAGGTACATTCCTATGTTCCTTAGGAACAATCAAACATGGAAGACCAGAAGGGCAGTATTTGTACATGGAGACAGCTCAAAGGGCAGAAATGTATAGGAAAGAAGAATACAGGGAAAGGTAATCAGAGGGAAAAAATGTGAAGAGAACTGTTACGTTATGGAATTGCAGTCAATGTCAAGAAACAAAATGTATATGAAATATTGTATGGAAAATCAATTTGCTCTCTAAAATTCAACCTAAATCATAATATTAAAAAAAAAGAGAGAGAGAGAGATGTACCACTGAACCACTACAGCCACTACTAAATGCTAGACATTTTAGTAAAACAAAACAAAAAAAAAAAACCAGCTGCCCAAGAAAACAAAACTCATGGTGTTGAGTCAATTCTGCCTCATAGCAACAACCCTGTAGGACAGAGTATGACTGCCCCAGAGGGTTTCCAAGGCTATGATCTTTATGATAACAGACTGTAATATCTTACTCCTATGGAGTGTCTGAAGGGTTAAGAACCACCAACCTTTGAGGCTCTTATACTTAGCTATAAATTCAGTTCCCACCAAGGCAGATCAACTTGGGAACTGACCACACAGTCCATTCAGGGACTGAGGCAAGTTGAAGGTAGGCTGCATTTCAGTGAGACTCTATAAATCTCTGATTTTCCCTCCAGAAAGTTTCCACTAAGAACCCAGCAGGACTTTACCCCTCAACATCAAGAGATGTGGGACATCAGCTCTGCTCTCAGTAGTTTTACTGCTTAGTGCAAGAGACTGCTGTCCTGAGGAGCATGAGAATATGGCAAATTTCTCAAGTGGTGCCTGATCATATGTTTCAGTCTCATCAAGTCTCCATTGTTGTCACTGAAGCCACCAAAGAACTACTACGTGGGGCAAGCCTAGGTCCCCAACCTCTGCCTCTGAAATCACCTGTTGAAGAATCCCTTGAGTCCTTATTGACTTACAATTCTGGGAGTACTTTTCCATCTTGACTCTGTATTTTATCCCTTTTTTCTGGCTGGACTTAACAGGACTGCTGGCCTGAAACCAGTAACTCCTCTACCCTGATGCAGAAGTTGCAGCAAATTATGGAAGCACATCATGTTCTTCCTCTTCAGAAGAGGGCAACTTTTCCCAATAGCATGACTCCTCTTCCCCTGTCTCCAGTTTAAGAACTCTATTTTGTTTTACTCCACTACAGTTCTACTTTTGACAAAAGTATCACTACTGATATATCACATATTCAAATATCTGACAAGGCAAATCCTCCCTTCTTTATCCTTTTCAAAATTAGAGTAGCTGTATTGACAGGTTATTTATTCAAATAAATTTTTAAAATTTTTCATCAAAATCTATCAAGTACTTATATTCTAATCGTGATTAAATCTAGAGACTAATTGGGACATTTATCTTTACTAAATCTCATCCTTCAATACATAACAAAATTATTTTCACTATTTACCTTGATTTATGCTGATATCTGTAGATTTATTTATGTAAGTTTTATAACATCAAGTTCACTTCCAAAAGGAGGTATCTTTTGTGATAAGAGTTAAAATGTTTTATCTACTAGAATTTTATACTAGAATATAAGCACGTTATTAAATTAATGATGTAGCTATCTCTTGCCACAGTTACAATTACTTGCTGTTTAAATCAATTTACAATTTTAAATACCAAGAGTAGATGATTAAAAAAAAATACCCAGGACATGCCAATCTCAATTAGTGCCTATCTTTTTATTTTTATACAATAATTGAATTTACCATTAGGCTAATTTATCAATAAGGACAAAAGTAAAATTAATTCCAGTCCTTGTAAGTCTACCACAAAAATCTGTTGAGCCTGATAAAAAGGGAAAGTACTTACAACAATTGATGTCAGGTCTTCACTTTCAAATCTGCCAATTGCCAGTTCCAAAGACTTATACATAGCTGCTGAGACTCGCTGCGTAATCAGGCGGTTGAGGTCTATTGACCGGCCAAGGAGCTGGGGAGAAAGGCATGACTGTCAGGGAAAGAACATGAAAATCTTAAAAACAAAGGGAGTTCTGGTAAGATGGTGGAAAAGGCAGAAAGACTGCACACACCCTCTTCAACAAAGAAAAGGGAAACCAATTAACACGGATACAGAAGATAAAACTGGACCCATGAGCCTTGAAAGGAAGGATACAGAAGTGGACTAAACTCCAACTAGGAAAAGAATTTGAATGAAAACACCAAAAAGGGAGATATACGGAGCTGCAGTCTGGCAGTGGTCCTGACGGCACAGGCAGCTTGGATATTGCCGAGAGGTGATAGGACCTAAGAATTAACCTAAAAATCAGACTTCCTAGCCAGGGACTGCACAGAGTACTGCTCTGGGGGCTAGGGAATAAAAGGGGAAGCAGCAAAGTGCTGTGGACTTTTTACTGTCCGAAAGACCCATCCATTTTGAATGTTTACAAGTGGCTTGACCATTTTGGATATTTATAGCAAAAGCATTCTCCCAGATTCCTGCGACTTAAGAACAGGCTCCACTTGCTGGGAACCCAAAGGACATTCCAGATCCAGAGAACTAGAAAAGTGCAACATTCCCCTCATTACTGTTATACCCCACAACTTCTTGGTGAACAGAGGTGTGGCCATTCCCATCCACTTTCTGGGCCGGCAGGAATTCCATCCCAGTCTGTGTGATTGGATGGAGCCTGGGTGCCCTACCCAGCCATGCCCCGATTTTTTCTCTTTTTTTTGCTGCTTTTTAGTTTGTTTGTTTTTGTCTGTTTTAAAACTACAATTATTATTATTAGTTTTGTCCTTTTTACTATTATTCTTTATTCTTAGCCTACCAGGTTCTAGTTTTCAGCATTTTTTCTTTTCCATGTTCCTGGTTACAATTTTTATTTTCTTTATGGTGGTTAACCCCATTCCTCATTTTTCTTTTTCCCATTTTTTCTTCATTATTCTCCTTCTCTACCTTTTTTTCTCTTATAGCCTTCTTCCCAGATAGTGCAGGGTTTACTGTTTTTGTCTTTATTCTTCTTTTTCCATTTTTCTTTTTTTTGCTTACTGTTCCTGTGTCATAACACAGTGTATTTTTTGTCCATGTGCTTTTACTGTCCCGTGGTTATACAATTGTTATTTTTGTCTAACTGAGTGGAAGAGATGAATAGTCCCCATACAACAAAACTAAACCCACACCTCCTACAGCTTCACATACTGAGTGAGAGCCAACACTGCCTTCTCCACCAATGGGCCGATGATCAACAACCACCAAGTAGAGCCTGAGTCACCCTTGGCTACTCTTCAAAAACAGTTAACAAAGATCTAAGCACAACAATGACACAATGTCTCGAAGACAATACACCATCACAGTCCACACAGAGAAGAAAGATGAAGTGGTAGAAACACAAGGGAGTGGGATACAGATCCAGAAGACATCATTGAAGCAGGAGCAGCATTCAATCTCTGATAAGAAATTCAAAAGAATTATATTTAGGTATTTTCAAAAGATTGAGAGACAGACAAAAGAAAACAGACAAAACCCTAGAAGAATTTTGGAAGAAAATACAATGAAAGGACAAAATAAATGAAAAATTAGAAATAATTGTAAATCTACAGATACAAATCAAGAAGATTAATACTAAATTGTTAGAAATAGATAACACATTGAAAGGGCAAAACAGTAGAACTGATTCAATGGAAGACAGAACTAATGAGACTAAAAACAAATACTTGATACTTCTTTGGAAAGGGATCAATTAGAAAAAATATCAAAACAACATAAAGAAAGCCTAAGGTTCATGTGGGATACCATCAAAAGGAATAACCTACATGTCACTGGAATTATAGAAAAGGAAGAGAAAAATAAAACCACTGAGAAAACTGTCCAAGATTTGTTGGAAGAGAACGTCCCTGATATCATGAAAGAACAGAATATACCCATTCAGGAAGTCAAACGAACCCCAAACAGGACAGACTGCAAAAGAAAATCATCGAGGCTTATCATCATCAAACTCATTGAAACCAAAGGCAAAGACAGAATCCTGAAAGCAGCACGGGGAAAACAAAAAGTTACTTACAAAGGACAACCAGTAAGAATAAGCTATGATTTCTCAGCAGAAACCATTCAAGTGAGAAGGCAATGGGATGGTATATATAAAACCCTGAAAGAGAAAAATTTTCAACCAAGAATTATATACCTGGAAAAATTCTCCCTGAAATATGATAGTGCAATCATGAGATCTTCAGATAAGAAGAAACTAAGGGAATTTGTTAAAACCAGACCAACCTTACAAGAGATACTAAAGGAAGTCCTTTGAACAGAGAACCAAAAATAGCAAATAACAAGCAACCATTAACACACAAGATAACATAACCCAAAAACCACAGCTATGGACATATCCAAAGTAAAATAAGCTTACAAGATTGTAAACAGGGAACTAGAGACATTAATTGGCAAGTGAGGACAACTACCAACCAAAAAGAGGGAAAATACTGTGTAGTTACAGAACTTCTAAATGGTGAGGAAGTCAAGAGAGTTGCAAGATAGAACGGACTGTTCTAATCTCAGGGAGAAAATTATAACTCACAGGGTAACCTCAAAGAAAAATGATAAACCTTCACATCACAATAAAAAAGAGGACAAGCACAAATATTCAGCATATACTAAAACAACAGCAACAAAGGAAATGATAACAGGATTCATAAATATAATGAGCTCAGCACAGAAAATAATATGGAACAAAGAAACAAGTGACACCATGAAAAAACACATAACAAAATGACAGCAACAAATTCCTATTTGTCAACAATTACACTGAATATTAATGAATTAAATGCACCACTCAACAGACGGAGCATTGCAGACTGGATAAGAAAACAAAACCCATCAATACGCTGTCTACAAGAGACATACCTCAGAGACAAAGACAAAAACAGACTAAAAATCAAAGGTTGGAGAAAGATATATCAAGCAAATGACAACTGTAAAACAGTAGAAGAGGCAGTATTAATTTCTGATCAAATTGACTTTAAGACAAAGACCACCATACAACACAAAGAAGGATATTATGTAATGATTAAAGGGTAAATTGAACAAGAAGATATAACCATAATAAATATCTATCGATCCAACGAAAGAACCCCAAAATATGTAAATCAGACTTTAAAAGACATGAAAAGTCAAACAGATGACTCCACAGTCATAGTAGGAGACTTTAATACACCACTTTAAAGGAAAAATAAAGCAACTGGAAAGAAACTCAACAAAAATGCACAAGAGCTAAACAATACAATCCACCAACTTGACCTTATAGACAGCTACACAGCACTTCACCCAACAACAGCACAATATACATTCTTTTCCAGTGCACGTGGAACATTTTCCATGATAGAACTAATCGAGAGATTTAGCATCATGGCAAGATGTAAGATCGACATCCAAAAATCAGTTAGATTCCTCTACCCCAACAAAGAGAATGCTGAAAAAGAAATAAGGAAATCAATACCATTTACTACAGCTACCAAAAAAATAAAATACTTGTGAATAAATCTTACCAGGGACACAAAAGACCTCTACAAAGAAAACCATAAAAAACTACTTCAAGAAACCATAAGAGATCTACATGAATGGAATAACACTCACAGACAGGAAGATTGAACATCGTGAAAATGTCAATTCTACCCAAAGCAAGCTATACATTCAATGCATCCCAATCCAGATCACTTCAAAATTTTTTAAGGACATGGAAAAACCAATCACTAACTTTATTTGGAAAGGAAAGAGATCTCCAATAAGCAAAGCACTATTGAAGAAGAAAAACAAAGTAGGAGGTCTCACACCGCCGGATCTCAAAACCTACTATAGAGCCACAGTAGTCAAAATGGGCTGCTATTGGTATGATGACAGACACACAGACCAATGGAATAGAATCGAGAACCCAGAAATATATCCATCAACCTGTGGTCAGCTCATCTTTGACAAAGGGCCAAAATCCATTAAATGGGGAAGAGAAT